ATGAAGTCTCTAACATGTCCCAAAAGGCTCTCTGTATGTCTGGGGCATTTCTCTGGCATTGCCCCTTGCTGCTCATCTCTAGCAACACTTGCCCTCTCATTGTGCCTCATCCTCCTACCTCTGGAATTTTGCTCCTTTTAATTCCTCTGCAGGGAATACTGTACCCAGATATTCACATGCTGCACTCTCTTTATTCCAGAGTCTGCCAAAAATGTCACCTCATCCGAGACCTTCCTAACCTAAGACATTTTAGCCCACACCTCAGTCACTCCCTTTCCCCTTATCTTGTCTTATTTATTATTCTAGTACTTACTCTCTTGCCTGATATATGCATTTCTTGTTTATTTATTCACTACCTGCTTACTAGCTCTCTACTAGAAGTCAGTCTTCATGAGAGCATGGATGTTGTTTTGTTTACTGCTAAATCTTTAGCACTTAGGACAACATACAGCACATAAAGATAATAAATATCAATTGAATAAATGAACGGAGATCTTATTTTGTTGTATTTATATCTTCAATATTTATTCTTTCCCACCTTCTCCAACACGGGGAAAATGAAGCTCATCACATTTTCTGTCATTTTATCATCTTTGTTATATACTAAACTATCTGACAAGACAGAGTAAGTGAACCAGATTTGACTAAATTTTACAGTGTAGACTGGGAAATATTAAAATTGCACATAAAATATTTCTTTCCCTAAAGTCCAGGAGAAAAATATTTAAGCTGAGCACTTCATAAAAAGTCGCTATTCCTAAACATTTACTTCCATATACAGGGCTGTATTTTCCTCTTTCACGAAACAGCCCCAGAGCAAGTGCCCTCGTTTTAGCCTCAGCCCTAACCTGAGGAATTCATTTCACTCCAGCATCCATCGCCCATCCTCCATGAGGACGTTTCTCAAAGTCTGACTAGAGAGTACCACTGGGCGCTTCCATCGGTACAGTCTGTGGTTGTCTTGCGGACTTGAGCTTTTCAAAACAGCCCATGCTGGCACACCATGTCCAGTCCCTTAGGATGTGTCCATTGGTTTATTCTTCATATCCTCTGCTGAATGGTTGGCTGTCATTTCCATATCTTTCTCTTCCTCTCCACATAACTCCCCCCAAAAGTTATTTTTTCGAGGTGGTATCTAAATCCGTAAAAAGGAAATGAAATATTTGCTCCAGAATTATCCAGATGGGTTTCTCTCATAGTAGTTAGTACATTATTATAAAAAACAATATTAGTACTTTTTCTTCATACCTTGAGAGTTTCTTTTTCTTTCAGCCCTTTAAAGATGTTGGCCCATTGTCTTCTGGCAGTCATGGCTTCTGATGAGGAGTCTGCGATCATTTTTAATTTTGTTTTTCTTAATTGTGTCTTTTTTTTTCTCTGCTGCTTTTAAGATTTTTTTCTTTATCTTTTCTTTTTAGGACTCTGGTTGTGATTTGCCTTGGCATGGCTTTCTTTATGTTTATTCTGCTTGAGGTTCATTAAGCATCCTGGATCTGTAAATTATAGTTTTCACAAATTTGAAAGTGTCTTAGCTATTACTCCTTCAAATACTTTTTCTGCCCATCTATGTGCATCTCCAAATTATGTGTACGTTACATTGCTTGATATTATTTCATAGGTCACTGGTACTCTGTTCATTTCTTTTTTTAGTCTTTTTAACCTATTATTTAATTTTGGATATTTTCCGTTGTTAAGCTTAATAATCTTTTATTTTGCAGTGTTTTATCTTCAGTTAAGTGTATCCAGTATACTTTTCATTGGAGATATTTTATTTGCCATTGTTAGGAATTCGATTTAGGTGTTTTTCTATATATATATATATTTTTTTTTTTTTTCACTTTCTTCTTCACCGTGCTTCACCTTTTTGAATATGTGGAGTAGATTTAACTGGTGTTTCCAATATCTGTCATTTCTGGGTCTGTTTCTTTTGAATGATTTTTTCTCTTGCATATGTGTCTTATTTTCCTGTTTCTTCCAGGCCTAGTAATTTTTGAATAGGTGCAATAAATAAATTTTAAGTGTGATGGATACTAGATTGTATTGTATTCCTTAAGTTTTAGGATTTATTGTCCTTAGACTTTAAGGAAAATCTAGGGTGGCATTTAATTTAAGATAATATAATCCCACTACTAAGGTGATATCTTTTAAGGACTCTACCCAGTGGTGCATGTGTTGCAAGATCTTTGCACTCTAGCTTGTGCACGACTAGATGCAGAAGCCTCTAGGCCCCTGCAAGGGATGCAGACTTCCATGCCTTGTATGATCTCTGGGCATTACTCAGTTTATTGCTCTTTGTCTTTTTCATCTTTCTTCTCCAGCTTCAGTAGTTTCTTCTCACACGTGCAGAGATCAGGAGTCAGGCAAATACTCAAGGAGCCCCCTGGGTAGGTCCCTGGAGCACTCTTGCTGTCCCTGTGAGCACATCCTCTCTGATATATATCCATTCCTGAAAATTCTAGTTTTTTTAACTTGCCTGAACTTTGATCTCTGTCCACTTACTTTAGCAAGACTCTCAGGTCAGTGGAGGCTTTTCCGTTCTTGCACTGTGGCCTGGAAACAGCCATAGGCAGTAAGCTGGGGCAGTCACAGGGCTCACCTCATTTCTTCCTCTCTTTCGGGGCCTTTTCATTCAACACTGTGCATCTTGCCCAGTTTTCGAGTGTAGGATAACCTTGACTCCTGTCAGTCCATCATGGTTACCAGTGGATGTTTTAATTTGTAAGAAGTTAGACAAAAATTTAGTTTGGAGAAATTCTGAGCCTATACACTAATTAGCAAAATTCCTTATTTTTGGAATTGCTGCTTAATTTGATTTGAATCAGTAAAGGTTGGGTGTGTTCTGTTTCATAAACATTGATACTGTGTTGGAATACATTATCTTTAGCATTTACAAGTAAGTAGGGTTAAATTTGCATCATAAATATTCATGAAGAATTGATGTGGTGTCCAAGTGGGTTATAATAACACCTGGAATGCTCCAGATTTCATTTGAAATAAAATATAGCCAAGATGTTTCAATAATACCAGTGGGAAACAAATCTAATTACCTGATATGAGTATCAGATCATTTATATTCATTTACTCATCTGATCCACAAATATTGAAGATTTAAAGATAAATAAGACATAGTTTCTGCTTTCTGAAGGTTGTAGTCTACAAGAGGAAATAGACATACAAACAATTAACTGTAATATGGTAGGATGTAGCAGGATTGGAGAGTAAGGACATTAGTTGAGGGATGTACAAAGTGCCACAGAAACACAGAGAAAGTTGAAAAAGGCAGGAAATTAAACCTGCTTAATAAAAGGCATCACCTCCCATCATCTGTTCATTTATTCAGTTAACGTTATTAGGCATCAGTAGTGTTCTCTGAACTGTGCTAAGGCCCAACAATGCAATTCCCCCTCTAGGAGAGAAATCTCTAATAATCACAATTCAGTGCAATAGGTGCCATGGCTGAGAGGTGCACAGGGAGTCATGGGAGTGGAGAGGAAGGGCACCTCGGCCCAGAGGCAAGTGATGTGGGACTGCCTCCAAGGGAAGCTGAGTCCCAGACAAGAAAAAGGCTTGTGGTAGAGAGTACCACCAGGCAGAGACCACCAGGTATGCAGTGTGGCCAGAGCTTGGGATTCAAAGAGAGGCTACTGGGTAAACAGCTAGAGGGCAGATCTTTAAGACCTGGCTGTGTTCTCCTATAGCACTTGGAAGAAAATAGGTAGTCTCTCTCTCTCTCTCTCTCTCTCTCTCTCTCTCTCTCTCTCTGTGTGTGTGTGTGTGTGTGTGTGTGTATAGAATGAGACAGTGATAGATTTATGTCTTAGGAAGTTCACTCCATTGATAGAGTTGAGGGAAGTGAAACTGAAAACAAAAAGACCAACCTGAAAGCTAAACTGATTCAGTAATCCAGGAAATATATGAATAAATGATAGGGACCACAGTGAGGGAGAAGCAGAGAGACTGAAAACAAAGGGGTAAGGAGAGGGAGTGGGGAATCATTTAGAAGGTGTAACAAATGGTCTCAGTGCTTAAGTGGATATGGAGGGTGATGAAGAGGATTGAGTGTATGATGACTTCCAGGTTTCTGACCTCGAGAACTAGTTGTGTTCATTGGGGCTATGACCTCTAAAGGGGTTTGCTTACCCTGTGGAGAACTCAAGACAATCCACTGGAGCAAAAGGAAAACTAGCAGAATTCCATTTATATTTTTCTCAGTTTTTTAGTTTCTATTTGTGTGTGTCTTACAAAGTAGACAGTAAACTCATTCAGTAGCACTTGTACATAATTTATGGGGAACTTGAGGTGCCTATAGAACATTTAGGCAGTAATTTCCAGTGGGTAATCAGGGTCTAGGTCAGATGAAACTGTCCAATAGAAGTTACTATGATCGTGGAAACACTAAATATGTGCTGTCCAGTATAGGAGCCAATAGCCATGTATGACTGTTGAGCACTTGAAAAATGACTAGGGCAGCTGAGGAACTGAAAAATTTTTTAATTTATTTAAATTTAAATAGCCACATATGGCTAAGGGTTACCATATTGGAAAGCACAGATATAAACTTAGAAGAGAGACCCAAGCTTTCATTTATTAAGTGCTTATATTGGCTAAGCATGTTACATACATTGTTCAGTAATTTAATCATCCCAACTACCCTATTAAGCAGACAGTTTTATACAGGCACAACTCAGAGATATTGCCAGTTCAGTCCCAACCACCACAATAAAGGGAGTCATAGTTTTTTTGCTGGCGAAGGGTTTTTACCTTCAATTTGTAAAAAACACAACATTTGTGAAGTTCAGTAAAGTGGAACACTATAAAATGAGGTGTGCCTGTAGAAGGAAAGAGTACGTTCTTCCTTTATCCTTTTGATAGTAAAAGTATATATTGCAAAGAAGAGCATGTTTGCTTTGAAGTACGTGTACTTTTTAGATATTCTGTATCGGTGGAGAATGTTTATTTATCTTTCATAACCAAGTAACAATTTTATATTTTTCTTTCAGGTGGCTTGCTCTGTTAGAGATTCAAATGTGCATTATTTTATTATTTTATTATTATGACTGTAGTCTTCTAGATCCATTGCCAAAACAGGTAAGTTTTTCCAGAATTTTTGAAGAGTATGACTTTCAAATTTGATAGAAACTCTCATCCCTTGGTTTTAATTACTAGAGATGAGCTACTGATTTCCTCGATTAGCCTGATCTTAACAGGTGCCTTACATTGAACCAGACTGAGAAGAGCCTCCCTTCATTCTTATCTATGTGCTCCATCCTCACAAGACTGGGACCTAATAGTAGTGTTCCCACCATTTAATGTTAGAACCTCTTCTATGAATTTACCAATTTTAACCCCTTTCAACAAACATGGCCTTGATGTTGAACTTGTGTCCTTAAAAAGCTATGTATGTGAATCCAAAAGTGAACTGTCAGTTTTGGAGACAAGTCATAGCCCTTGGGCCAAAACTAAACCAAGAGTAGAAATGGTGAACAAAAATGAAAAGGCCATGACTTTTCCCAGGCTCTGACCATTGAATATTTTAATCATTTAAATCCTCCATTTTCTACAGTTCTGTTCTCCTAGACCAATGGCCCTGAGACTCGTGGGAGCATTAGAATTGCCTGTGGGGCCCCTTAGAGCACAGCACCCGGGCCCCGCCCCTAGATTTTCTGATTCAGTAAGTGGGGAGAGAGTCAGGAATTTCCACTACTGCTGCTGTTCTGGATACCACAGTTTGAGGACCGCTGTCCAGGGAAATAAGGGGAAATGCAATTTAATTACAAATGTTTGGAGGTTATTTTGAAAACTGGGGATTAGGTGCTCCTTAAACTGAGGTGAAGCTCGGAAATTAAGCATTGTGTTCACAATCACAGGGCTATTCACATAGCATTTTGTGCTTTGGCTTATGCTTGACACAATAAAGCTCATATAAGGAGAGATAAATGAAACTCCTGGGTGACATTTCAATAGAAATCATGTCAGTGCATAAGTGACACAGACAATATCATATCACTCACAAAGGTGCACATTTCAGCACTTTCCCTTGATTCCTCTTGCACTTCTATTTGAGAACAAGCAACTATCAGTCATGAAGAGCTCTCAAAATCCTACAGTGAAAGGAGAATCAAAATACCCTTCATGAAGGTTCTTGGCTGAGTACCGTTTTGTTAGCAAAATGAAAACTAGAGCCAAATACTGGTCCCTGGTCCCCCAAGTTAGATGTCACAATTTTGCCCAGGACTGGCTCAGCATTCAACTATTTTCCCACTGGCAAGACACAGAAATGCCTCCTCAGGTGAGATGGATGACATTTTTCAAAACTGTGTAACATCTGTCACTGGAGATCGGGAATTTTGACCAGATCCTTAAGCAAGATTTTTCCCAGCACTTTCTTCCTAGCTAAGAACTCTGTTACTTGTGTTTATTATGCTGTTTTATATACATCCTATTTCTGTTTTGATACTACTAAGAACTTTTTTTTTAAAGAAGTGGTATCTCAGTTTGTCAAAAGTATAGGTCTAGGTGAATTTTCATGACCTCAAAGGGCATTTTATTTAATTCTTATTCTAGAAATTAAAAAGGTTAATTAAAATTATTTAATATGGGACTTGTTCTATTGGAACACTAAGTTGTAAAATGGGATGATCAAAAACTGGAGGAAATGATCTTCAGATTACCAAGCTCTTGTAGGTCCTGGGAGCGGATGAGTTGCCTGGGCATGTTCTAGACACTCTTTTATCAAGTGCAGAGAGATCAGTGGACCTGGAAAGCAGCTCCCTCAAAAGAATATGCTTGTCATAGTGGCAAAAATCAAATGCTAGCATCCCCAATGTAATTTTGCAACAGCCCAGTGTTTTATTTTATTTTATTGAATTTCAGTTGTCTCCCAGTAAGGACCAAACAATAAGGAAACACTACACAGCTCTCCAGAATCCATGATTAGGCAGCAGGGCCCCACTGCTGGCAATGACAGCTATTTCTTTTTGAGCCCTCCTAAGAAGACCAACTCCAATTCTCTTGCTAAAACAAGCACATTTTTGCTAATACAGTGGCACTCTCTTTGGTTGGCTGGTTTTATTCTGTGTTACCTTTTGGGGGGTCTATGAATGCTTAGGAAATCTCAGAAAACCTATGGATTCCCTTTCTAGAAAAATACACTCCTCTTCATACACACAAAATTGTGGCTGCAATTTCAGAGTCCATGGGAACCCCGCACACATTCTCTCAATTCCCCTAAGAGGCTCCTTGCTAAGGAGCCCATTCTGTGCCCGGTTGCACTCACACTTGACAGTAGACTGATGACTTAAATTGGATCAGTCTTCTCTTTCCTCACTTCTCACCTCCCCCTCAACCCTCAAGGTTGGCAGAAGAGCTTGCTTCTCCGTTTCAGGCTCCAAAGTCTCAACCACCTCTGTATTATTTGCAATAAGCTGAGCTGCTCTCATCTACCATATACATTCATTCCTTGTTCAGAACTAGGGAGAAAGAAATCAGAACATTTGGAACCCACAAAATATTCTTTTGGAAGTTACAATCTTTGGCATACTGTAATAGTACTTCATTCGTACCACCAACGCCTTGTTGCTTTTTAAACGTCTGTGACGTGTGCCATAGAGGTCTCACCCAGGGATTATAAATGAGCTGTCGCAGTTTGAGGCCGGATATGTAGAAGGTGCCTTATTTGTGGTGTCCTCTTTAGTCAAACAAAGTGAAGGGAGGATGGCAGGCAAAACGGTGATGGGATTGCCATTAAGAGAAGGGATTGCCTTCTTTTCTGTCCCTTGAATGGGAGACTCGAACTGATGAAATTCATCAAGCAAACACTTCCAGTCTTCTAAATCTAAACTCTTGTGCCTTTTAGGGATAATTGTTCTATAATTGAATAAACCTTAGGTCTAAAACTGTTGGCTTTGTCTCTTAATTTCCTCATTTCTGCTTTTAGCATTCTCTCCATTTGCTGGGTGTTCCCCAGCCAGAAGGACAATGCCGGATGCAATACAAACTGAGAAAATGACCCCTGGGCTAAGGAGGGCCAGGCGGTCTGGAGGAGTGGCTGCCTCTCATCCACTTGCCTGGCAGCACCTAGGCCTGACCGCGACTAAAACAGGCGGCTGAACCTTGCTTTAGTATTTAGGTGCAGAAGATGTCCGAATGGTGCCTGTGTTTGGAATCTCAAGAGTAGACCAAGAATCTGACATCACTCTCACTGATAGAAAGGCCAGAACACATGGTTTACAGAAAATGTTTAACTGATCAAGAAGAGGAAGCATTTCTTAAGAAGTTGGAATTTAGTTCATGCAAAACTGTACTAGAACTTTGAATAGAAATAATGCCATTTGAATGAAAATCTTAGTAGATTAATTCTGTGAAGACAATATACTTAAATTTCTGTTTTCAGGAAGACTAGCATCAAAAAATGTTAAATTATGACTTCTGGAAAATATCTATTTTTCTCAGTATGGTTTTTAATTAGCAGTTGGAATTATTGAGCTCTATTAATGTAATTCTTTATCGTAAACATGTCTAATGCTAAAAGTATGAATACAGTAAGAGCTTTCTAAGACCTGTGAAGACTGGAAGCATGTCTACACTCATTTCTATACACATTTGGGACAACACCTTCTCTTTAAGGCATGTTTAATAAATGTATGTAGATTGATATATTAATTTGTATTTTAATTACGGTGAAAGCACTCTTTTAATGCAAGGTGTTTGTAATTACACCTTAAGATAATATTTTTGCTAATGTATGGAAATAAAAATGAGTGCCAAGGCAAATAACAATGTTTGACTCTATTACTTGACTTATACTTGAAATATTTACTGTGAAATCCAGAAAAGAAATTCAGTCATGTTCAGGGAGAAATATATCACAATAATAATGATCAGTGATGTCATGATTTTTCCTCTAATCAATAAAACGCTGCTAGCTTCTTTTATTTCACAATAAGTAAGCTTTGTAGCGAGTGCATGTTGTACTCTGGACTATTTGCTCCCTGTGCTAGAATTGTCTCTTGGGGTTGGTAATGATTGCTTAGTCATCTATTTCCTATCAATGAGCAGATGACTCCCTAGGAGAAAATTAAGTGCTTTGGAGTATATTAACCTTTCCTGACTAATGCAGTGATTAGCTAGCAGCTTGTAGCTCAGCTTAGCAGGCTTAGGGGCCTGGAGATGGAAGGGGCTGAGGAAAGTGGGGGAGTCCACGGCAGATCTGAGAGTTGCAGACTGTAATCTGGCAAACGCCACTAAATACAGCAGGTATGTTCCCAGGGAAGGCTCACCGTGAAACACTATTTGCATGTGATACACACGTCAGCTGAATTTGCAGCCACTCAGGGCTAGTGTTTATCTCATTATTGCTTGGTCACGATGTATGTTAGTTGACAAGTTTATGCACAACCATTTAGTTTATAAAAAGAATTCATCACTTATTTCTGCAATTCTGTCAGTAAATACATGAGCTCTTTTGTTCTAGGCTACCAAGTAAAGATGAAGATATAATCTATATCCATTTCTTTCCTTAGAACAAGGAAAAGGAGAGTTTTTAAAAATTTTTTAAGTATATTTTATTGATTATGCTATTACAGTTGTCCCACTTTTTTCTCCCCTTTATTCTCCTCCACCCCGCACCCGCTCTCCAGCAGCATCCATCCCCCCTCCTCAGTTCATGTCCATGGGTTGCACATATAAGTTCTTTAGCTTCTCCATTTCCTATGCTATTCTTAACCTCCCCCTGTCTATTCTGTACCTACCAAATATGCTTCTTATTCCCTGTAACTTTTCCCCCCATTCCCCTCCTCCCCCTCCCCACTGATAACCCTCCATGTCTCCATTTCTGTGATTCTGTTCCTCTTCTAGTTGTTTGGTTAGTTTTTGTTCTTGTTTTTTTAGGTTCATAGCTGTGTTTGTTGTTATTTTACTGTTCATAGTTTTTTATCTTTTTGTTAGATAAGTCCTTTTAATATTTCATATAATAAAGCCTTGGTGATGATGAACTCCATTAACTTGACCTTATCTTGGGAGCACTTTCTCTGCCCTTCCATTTTAAATGATAGATTTGTTGGATAGAGTAATCTTGGTTGTCAGTCCTTGCCTTTCATGACTTGGAATACTTCTTTCCAGCCCCTTCTTTCTGTGAGGTTCCTTTTGAGAAATCAGCTGATAATCTTATGGGCACTCCTTTGTAGGTAACTCTCTTTTTCTCTTGCTGTTTTAATATTCTCTCCTTTTCTTTAATCTTGGGTAACAATTATGGTGGGTCTTGATGTGTTTCTTGGATCCAACTTCTTTGGGCCTCTGAGCTTCCTGCACTTGCATGTCTAGTTCCTTCACCAGATTGGGGAAGTTTTCCTTCATTATTTGTTCAAATAAGTTTTCAATTTTTTTCTCTTCCTCTTGTCCTAATGGCACCCTTATGATTCAGAGGTTTGAATGTTTAAAGTTGTCCCAGAGGTTCCTCAGCCTCTACTCATTTTTTTGAATTCTTGTTTCTTCATTCTGTTCTGGTTGGATATTTATTTCTTCCATTTGTCCCAAATCCATTTGAGTCCCGTTTTCCTTCCCTTCACTGTTGGTTCCCTGTATGTTTTCCTTTATTTCACTTTGTATAGCCTTCATTTCTTCCTTCATTTTGTGACTGAATGCAATAATTTCTGTGAGCATCCTGACTACCAGTGTTTTGAACTCTGCATCTGATAGATTGGCTATCTCCTTGTTGCTTAGCTCTTTTTCTGGAGTTTGACCTGTTCTTTCATTTGGGCCATATTTCTTTGTCTCAGCGCACCTATTACATTGTAAGGGGCAGAGCCTTAGATATTTGCCAGGGCAGGGCAACCCACTTCGCTGCCCTGTGGCAGAGTCTGGATGAATGTTTCTTCTTTAACTCTTTGGTTGTCAGACTTCCATGCAGTTCGATTCTCTGGAAGTTCTGGTTGTTTGTTTGCTTTTTTTTAATTGGTTGTTATCCTTCTTTTGGTTGTGTAAGGAAGCGAAGTGTCTCTACTTATGCCTCCATCTTGGCTGTATGTGTCTTTTTTTTTTTTTTTTTCAATCACATGTGCCACCATTGTGAGAAAGGACATTCTGTATCTAGGTGATCTTACGTTGTGTTAAAATATGGTCAAAACTACATTCAGAATTCTAATCTCTTTACATAACCAGCACTGTGGCCACCCCTCACATACCCACACTAGACATGTCATTTCACACCTAATTGTCCTCTGAAACTTCACATTGAGATAGTCTATCCTCTCTCTAGAGTCTTCTATCCTCCCAGTTCTCTCACTCATTTATTCTCATGACACTTACTTTTCAGCTTCATAGGGAGCCTAGTTCCCCAGTTGACTATTACTTATCAGCCATCTTCTGCCTCCGCTCCCTTTTCTCTCCACCTGATACTCCTTACGGTTACCTCCATCCTTCAGCCTCCTGATACCATCAACTCTAGGGATTAAGATTTCAACATAAATTGTGGGGTTGAGGGGCTGGGGCGGAAACATTCAGACCATAGCAGGAAGTAATCCTCCACAGCTGTTTTACTTTCTCAGTAGAGTCTGGCTATGTATTTTGCTCCAATGGAGGATACTGGACAGCACTCACCAATGAGGTTCAGGTGAGCCCCCTGCTCAGGGACCCCATACTTCTTGGTTAAGCAGCCCGAAAGTCTGCAGGTGAGAGTGAACCAACACACCTGGCTTTCCTTAGAACAGTCTCTTTGGTTTGAAAAATGTTTTTAGAATAAATGTCTTTGACCTTTCTTCATTAAATATTGGGCTTGGATAATTTTTTAAAACTTCCTAAGTTTTGTTCACTTTATAATCATTTTATTAGTATTTTAATAAATGGCTATAGGTTATTACTGACAAAAGTACAACTCTGTGGCCCTGACTGGGTAGCTCAGATGGTTAAAGCATTGTCCCAATGCACCAAGGTTTTGTGTTTGATTCCCAGTCAGGGCATATACAAGAATCAACCAACGAATGCATAAGTAAGTGAAACAACAAATATATGTTTCTCTCTCTCAATATCTCTCTCTATATATCCCCCCTTCCTCTCTCTCTAAATTAAAAAGAGTACAACTTTATGTATAAACTATTTGTTTTCTTAACAAAATGACTACTACTTCCTAGAAACCAATCATGACATTTTGTCACTTTGTCACTTGAGCAATTACTATGTGCCTGGAACTTTACTAAGCCCATTTCACTCACCCACTTATTTTATCCTTACAATAATCTAATTTGTTAGGTTTGTTTCTGTCACAATCCCCACTTTTCAAATGAGAGAAGGGGAGCTCAGAGAAACAGGTGGCTTGAGGTCACACAGCTAGTAAGAAGCAGCAGCAGGATTTGAACCCAGGGAGTCTGGCTCCAAACCATGTCCCCCTAACACTAAACAGCACTGCATGCTTCCTAAAGAGAACATGTTGCCCACAAGAGACAGCAGCTTTGACCGTGTTGTCATCATAATCCACACGCTTGTTTCTCTCTTAACTCTTTGGGAAAAACGTAGCTAATTTGTTCTGTAGCCTACATTGCAAATAAAGAGGACAAGGACTCCTGTTGTTTACCAGTTTCCTTCCTCATTAGCTTTCTTCTCCAGGAGCCCCCAGCCCCTTCCCCCTGTGGGAACCATGCAGTAGACTAGCCTAGAATGAAAGCTAGCAGATCACTGTTGCAAGAAAAATACCTGATAAAAATGCATATTTTTAGTAAGGGCATATAAATGTAAATGTTGAACAAATGTTGTAAGTTCTGATGACATATCATAGCATGCATTGTCTATTATTAGAAATTGGCTTTTTTGAGGAACAGTGTTCTACCTTGTTCTTTCACAAAAAAAAAATAGCCCTGGTCATTAGAGACCCACTTGGCCATAGAGTAAGAAAGATGCATGGATTTTCTCTTCTGGCAGAGACAGAAACTTGCTGAATAGGGAAGAGTCTTAGTTTAAGATTTGTCTTCCAGGGACTTGGAATTTGGGGAAGAATTACAAAAAAAGGAACCTAAAGGAAAGCCTGTGGTGTTGCTTCACAGTGCAAACTTCTTTGATTTCATTGTTGCTGCTGAAGATAATCATGTTTAGAATCATAGTAGGTAAATAGAAATATCAGCCTAACATCCTGACTTTACTGCTTAAGAAGCTGAAGTCCAAGTTGGAGAAGTGTCAGGTTATGTGCCCCCAAGGGATGTTCAGTGACTAGTGAAAATAACCTCTGGGTGAGATTGTTTAACTGAATGATTCTTTAAAGAAAAAAATGAAACAAATGATTGAATTTCTGATTCTTTTGGCAGCAAAACTTTTCTTTCTACAACACATTAATATATAGATCATGCAATAAAAAAGCAGATAAAAGATGATAAATTCAACTCAACATTTAGCTGACTATGCTTCATTGTTTGCAGAACTTAGTATATACCTCTGTAGAGCCCAAGGGTCGAAGAGGCACATTTTGAAAAACACTGGACTAGGCTAGCTCTGTGTCACAGGGACATCTACTGTGCTCTGAATGTTAGGTCCCAAATTTCCCAGGGCCTGGACAGTTACCCAGGATCACGTGACCAACTTGGCCAATGGGCTGTAAGTACAAATTGTTAAGTGTCAACTCCAAGCTGAAACACAGACATATGGATGGATATAAATTGTCTTTATTTCCCTCTTCCCCTGATATTGTGGCAGATGAGCTCTGCAGCCATGAGAAGGCAAAGCTTCCATCAGCCTGGGTCCCTGAGTATCAGAGAGGAGAAGAGTCCCTTTCCACAGTCTGCACAGCTCACAGTTTCTGAACAGACACTGATATTTGTATTTGTTTGCTACCACAGCAGAAACTAGGCAACCTGCACAATCTCAGAAATGAAATTCT